TTTTATATTCAGACAACTGTTCCAAACGAGTACCAGAAGTATCTCAAAGCAAACGAATGGTTGTCTCATATATCAGACAAACTTAAAAGTTATGAACTTTTATCTAATAAACGCACGAATAAGAAGTGTTTACTGAAGTCAACATCAATGCAACAAATGGATGAAGCGGTCATTTGTGCGCTCAATATCGCCAAAACATATTTTAAATGACATTTTAGTTTAAGATATTTTGATTAATATTTGTATAAAACTTATTGATAATTAAAATAAATATAAACTAAATTCATTAGTAATTACTGTAATTGATAATTAATGGATTTGATTTATTTCTATAGTAAAGCTTTTAACATTAAATATTGTTTAAATTTAATAATTACAATTAAAAATTAAAAGTAATTATTACTTTTACGTAATTAGAAATATAACATTTTAAATTTCATTACGAATCATAAACATTAAATTAACCAATACATTGTTAATTATTTGGAACATAATTAATCTAGTTTTAAAAATAAAATTTGATTAAATGAGTGCTAAATTGGCTAATTGTACTAAATTGTACTCAACTAACTAAACACACTTATACAGTATGTACAGTATATTTATTTGTCAATCATTTGTACTTAACGTAAACTGATTAATTTAATTAGCAAACTATAAAACGTCAATTTCAAAACTTTAAATTCATCGATGTTTTATATGCAGGGAATCAATTTGTACGTAAGATTGAGCACGTAATTCATTTGAACACAACATTTTTAATTATACGCTTTGACAACTAAAACATCAAACATCAAGGTCTTCTTAAAACTTTATATATTTGGAGTTAATATCTCTTTTTATATTACAAACAAATCCATTGAAGTGTGATATCATTAGAAATGTTTGCCAATCGTATAGCTGTGGTGACCGGCGGTGGTTCGGGTATCGGTAGAGCTGTGGCCAGTATTCTGGCCAAAGAGAGCGCATCACTAGTGGTGGCCGACCAGAACATCAGTGGTGCCAAACAGACCATTGAGTTGATCGAGAAAAATACCAAAACTGGAGGAAAGCATATCCCCTTTGAAGTGGATGTCTCACAATTGGATTCATTGCAACGACTATTTAAATCAGTGACCGATAACTACGACAATAAAGTGGCCACTCTTCTGGTCAACTGCGCCGGCATTACCAGAGATAAGCTTATTGTAGAAATGACTGAACAAGACTTTGATAAAGTTCTTGATGTTAATCTGAAGGGAACTTTTATGGCAACTCAGGTTTGAATCAAATACTCGATGATATATCATATTTTAAGTTAATTCTATATTAATTGTCATTTGTCTCAAAATGATAGCTCTTTTGCCAACAAATGATTGAGAAGAAGCTAACGGACGGTTCAATAGTGAACGTGTCGAGTGTGAGCGCACGGATTGGAAACATCGGTCAATGCAATTACAATGCGTCCAAAGCCGGCGTCGAGGCCTTCACTAGAACTGTGGCCCGAGAGATGGCTAAACACCAGATCCGTTGCAATGCAGTTATGCCCGGATTTATCGACACTCCTATCGTCGAAACGGTTCCCCAAAAAAGTATACTTATATTCTTGATTCAAATACATTTGTTGTAACACTTTGTTTGCAACAGTTTTGGATCAACTCGTCGCTCAAATTCCCCTCAGAAGACAGGGAAAGCCCGAAGAAGTTGGCGAAGCCATCGCTTTTCTGTTGTCACCAAAGAGCTCTTACATCACGGGAACAGTTATACAAGTGTCGGGAGGGCTCGCCCTTTGAAACTCATGCAATACTCGAATATATTTTTATACACAATTATGTTATAAATTATTTTGTTTATCAATTATAAGCAAAACTCTCAAATGTTGGCCAAAATAATAGATTTGAATGGATATACGATTAGTTAAAAATAGTTTCATGTTTTATTTTCTATGAAATGTTTTTGCCGTATAATACATGTGAAAAATAAAGTGATTCTGAAGTAAAACTCGTTTATAAAATAAGAGATTTGAATGAAAAATTTAAACAAAGGGCACTAAAAATATTAGAAATACTGTATATGTATAATGAGATAATCCGTGCAAAACGTTTGTCACTAAACCGACTGTCAATCAATCATCGCTTCGGCGAAGTTTACTGTAAATGAAAATTGTTTAAAATACAAACGAATGTGAAATCATATGTAAAACTTACGACATAAGCGACGGCTCCTTATAAGAGACTGCTTTTCGTTGGCGACGACTACTCCGTGTCGACAGATTGCACGTCGAGTCCGACATATCCGACGACTCGATGGACTTACAGCTAATCCTTTCGTCCGCTTTTTTCCTCTTTTTGCTTTTATTGACACAATTTTTACTATTTGTTTGATTGACAACTGTTTTTGAATCACAATTTGTGGCCACACATGACTTTTTCCGGTTATTAGTCATGTTTTCCAATAAATTTTGAACGTTTACGAGTGAAGGCCTTCCGGCGCGAGGACTGAAGTATGGATTGATCGATGAAATACGCTTTGAAGGCCTCTGAATGTCAACAGAACTCAAACGATTGGCGTTAACAGGCGTTGAGGCGGTTATCACTTTTTGATCATCAGTTACGGTCGACTCAAACGAATTGAAATCAGTTAACGACAGTTCGGATCGCAAAGCCGTGTCGTTCATCGAAAGCGGCGAAACGCCGTCGAAACGTGTCGTACGGAAAGTGTTGAATGAATTGGTGTTAAAGTTAAATATAGAGGGAGTTCTTTGGGTAAAGTTCTCAAAGTTTGGCGTAAATTCATAGTTAGTTAACGTGTTGTCCACTCTTTGGGAAGGAGTATCGCACAAGTATTGGGTGCCATTCAGTTGGTGGTCGTCCGTCACCTCCAACGACACCTCTTCCACGACAGTCAGCTGTGTATCGATCGCATCGTTTGGTACTAATTGTTGGCCACTTTGTCGAGACAATCGTTTCGCTTCGAACATAGACTGCGCTTTTGACACCACTTCCTCTTCAGATCTATTCATTTGGGTTTCCATGGGTTTCGCCTCAACGCCCGAAACCATCAAATGGTCGCCCCTTTGGACGCATTCCTCGATCTTATCGCTCACTTTATCGATCATTTGGTTATAAAACTCGTATGACTTTTGAAACAAATCAATCATATTTTTGCGATCGTNGTTTATGATTCGTAATGAAATTTAAAATGTTATATTTCTAATTACGTAAAAGTAATAATTACTTTTAATTTTTAATTGTAATTATTAAATTTAAACAATATTTAATGTTAAAAGCTTTACTATAGAAATAAATCAAATCCATTAATTATCAATTACAGTAATTACTAATGAATTTAGTTTATATTTATTTTAATTATCAATAAGTTTTATACAAATATTAATCAAAATATCTTAAACTAAAATGTCATTTAAAATATGTTTTGGCGATATTGAGCGCACAAATGACCGCTTCATCCATTTGTTGCATTGATGTTGACTTCAGTAAACACTTCTTATTCGTGCGTTTATTAGATAAAAGTTCATAACTTTTAAGTTTGTCTGATATATGAGACAACCATTCGTTTGCTTTGAGATACTTCTGGTACTCGTTTGGAACAGTTGTCTGAATATAAAATTCTTTGCCGTCGGCAGAGGTTTGGAAAAGAGCCGCCGGTTTGTGTCCAAAATAATCTAATCCTAACTTAAACGCTATGTTTTTATCACCAATTGTTTCAAATTTATACACAAAATATTGAAACGTTTCGCTTGATTCAAGTGCTTTCAATTCATTGCAATATAATTCGGTTAATTGTTTCTCATATTTATCTAACCTTTCGAGTAATTGATCCACACTTTCATTCATATCTAGCGGTAGATTATGTCTTAAATTCATTGTATAATCACTTAAGATATCTTTGATATCATGCAAAGAGTTTCGGTTTGAATCTAAAAATTGTTTACTCAAAGAGTTCTCTTTGAAATTAACATCTATTTCTTCATTAATTGTCTGCAATTTTTGGGTGATTTCTTGACTTAAATTAATTGAATATTTAATATCAATTCGCGTTAGAGCTCTGACTAGACGTCTATTTTGTGAGACGACTGCTTGATATTTGTCAAACTCTTCATCAATAGTTTTGTCCACAATTTGGATGTTATGATGTAATTCGGGAAACGCTTCGCCCAATATGTCTGCAGTGATGGCCGAGAGTTCGTGCAAAAGGAGTCGGGGATCGGAAACCCCGAAATCATTGCCAGCGATTCCAATAGATTTGCGGATTATTTTTCTTAATATAAATCCGGTTCCCCTATAACTAGACTTAAGGCCATCGCTGATGGCTATGGTATACATTCGCGAGTGATCTGCGAGTATTCGGTACGATATGTCCAACGGATCGGCAATACTGTGTCCATAAGGTTTAGAGTGACTGTTCTGTAAATACTAGACTTAAGGCCATCGCTGATGGCTATGGTATACATTCGCGAGTGATCTGCGAGTATTCGGTACGATATGTCCAACGGATCGGCAATACTGTGTCCATAAGGTTTAGAGTGACTGTTCTGTAAATAGAAAACAAATAAACAAACACTTTATAAACAATTTATAGATTTTGTATTCTTTGCATACGTTTTGAATAGATTTAAAATATGGTAAAAAGAGATCCGTTTCATAATTGGATTTAACATTTTGAACCACTGATACAATCCTTTCCAACCCCATACCGGTGTCAACGAAATGCCTGTGCAATGGTTCTAACTTTCCGTTTATGTCTCTATATTGACAATAATTAAAAATTTGAATGAATTTATAAACTAATAAATATATAAATTTACAAAACAAATACCTATTGTATTGAATAAAAACAAGATTCCAGATCTCAATACAATTCTTCATCAAATGGTCCGCATTTGTTGATATCGTGGGCTCTAATAAGTAGTGTATTTCAGTACATATACCGCACGGACCGGTTTCGCCCATTTCCCAGAAATTGTCTTTGGATCCCAACGGTATGACACGATCTTTGGCTAAACTAAACATTACATACAATCCATAATTTAATTTTTTTTAAACTCAATTCAAATCTATACCCAATTTGGAGCCAAATATCTCTGGTTTCAAAGTCTGGTTCTAAACCTAACTGTTTATCGCCTCCAAAATACGTGACAACCAATCGGTTGACATCCAGTTTAAACACTTGTGTCAATAGATCCCATGCCATACGACACGACTCTTTCTGGAAAGACATTAAAACATAAATAAAACGCAAATAAACACTAAATTAATTACTTTATGGTAATCACCAAAAGACCAATTGCCTAACATCTCGAAGAACGTGTGATGTCTGCCATCGGTTCCAACGGTCGTCAGATCGCAGTGTTTACCGCCGACGCGAATACACTTCTGGGAGTTAACGCATCGGACGTAACCATTCATGGGATCAGTTGGCGATAGTGTGTCCAAAAAGATGGGTTTGAATTGATTCATACCGGCGCTC